TTATCGAAGAGTCAAGGCTCTTGATAATGAGTGTTCTTGGTTTTGTTTTAAAATGTCTCCCTTTCCTTCCTCTTAAAATGCAATGAACTGTCATAACAAGCAGTTTATGGTAAGTTGACCAGATATTGAAAAATGGACTTCCCATTATTTTGAGGCGGAATCTGTACGGGTTGTTCCTGTTGGTGGTGGTTTTTGGTTTTCTGGGCTTTTGCCGTTGTTGTTTTTCCTAAAGAAGGCTATTTCTTTTCAACTCCATGCTATGTGGCCCACTGGTGCCCGTTGCCTAGAGCAGTGTCTGGTCCATAGTAGGTGCTCAAATCTGTTACATGAATAAATGGAAGAGGGTCTTTCATGTGACTTTATTTGAAGTGACATGTTTTTCGTTTTTCCCCACACACAATTAAGAAACACTGCCATTTCTTTATCTTCTCATTTTCATCAACTGTTTCTCCCTTTTGAGGAGAGTTTTGATCTTTTTCTGTATTTTACCTAAATCTTCCCAAATTCTGAATATACAGTCACTAAACCTGCTCTTCCATCCATTTTCTTTTCTGAATTTCAGGCAACGATGTGAAAAGAATGGTACTTAACGTCTTTGTGTTGACAGAAGTCCCTTTGTCTTTTCCTTACACGCATCTTAACCCTCAGTGACTCATCTTTGAGAAATGAGCTGTGCAGCTGCGGTGGCGCTAAGCCCTTGCCACCCACTCGGGGGGCGAACAAGTGGCCTCTCACAATGGACGGATGGCCCTCATCCTGGAATTATTTGCTGCTCAGTTTGAACAATGGAAATGCGTCATCAGACCGTGTCTTGGGTGGTGGTGGTTGTTTTTTCACTTGGACAGGACCTCTAAGATCCATTTCCTGATTTCACAGGCCTTGCTCCAACAATTATTTCCACTTTCTGCTGGCTGAGCCCTTTAACAGAGTCCTCTCCGCTGTGGTGACCAGCTGTCCCGGTTTGCCTGAGACTGTCCCGGTTGCCACATTGAAAGTCCCACATCACAAAACCCACCTCGGTACCTGGCGAACCAGGACGGTCGGTTCCCCTACTCCTGGCTCCCTCCTTTCAGTCTCTGTTCACATCAGTTCTGTCCTTAAAAGGGCTTTTCTTCCCTTTACCTTGTGATACTCATCCTGTCCGATCTTTCTCTTTGCACTCTCAAAACAAAAGATGTCACAAAAATAGTTTTGATTTGAGGTACCTGCTCCCACTCACTCCTCAACTAAACCTACTTCTGAGGCTCCTGCCCTCCATTGAAATTGCTTTACCGGGTCCCACGGACACTTTTCAGGCTGATTCTGCTTTACCTTTCTGTGCCATAATTGGACACTCTTGGTTACTTGTTTCCTCTCAAATTGTCACTCTCCCTTCGATAGTTCTATATTCCTCATTTCCCCCAGTCTTCCTACTTATCCATTCCTTTTTGACCTTTCTTGGGATCCAACTCCTTTGTCTGCTTATTAAGTTTTTATATTCTCCAGAATTTTCTTTGCGGCCCACTCCACTGACTGAGAAGTTTTATCTACTTATGTAATTTTAATCCTTGCCTATGTGCATAATCATAGGCACTGGAAGGATATTAGCTTAATGAGAGACTGACTGTTAAATCTCCTCTCTTCTGAATGTCACCTCTCCAAGCTGAGCCTATCACACCTCCCTGATCTGTTTTCTATATAGATTCCCCCTTAGATTAGTGTTGGGTTTTTAATATTCATCTTTATTAATTTTACCCTGAATGTGCATCTGAGGTGTTCCGAACCAGAGACAGTTTTCTTTTAATTACCTAACAGTAAATATCACCACCCTCCTCCCTGTGCCCAAGTCTTACCCTTAGGGAGACATAATGAGAGCTAATAAAAATTTTCCTTAATTAGTGGCTGGGTACTCCATAGGTGAGAGACCAGGAAAAATGATTTTTTTTTTTTTCTCTGCTTATAAAGGAGAAAGCAGTTGTTCCATTCTCCTTGAAAACATACAGGTCTGAGTCCTAACTCCAACTTCTCCAGGATCCAGCTAGCCCCATGTATTTCAGGTCTTACAACCTGGAAATGTCTCCAAAGTCTGGACTTTACATTTTTTTATTTTATTTAATTTTTAAATATCTCTATTGATTTTGAGAGAGAGAGGGGAAAAAGGGAGAGAGAGAGAAGCATCGATATGAGAGCGGAACATCGATCAGTTGCCTCCCGCATACCCCCTGCCAGGGATCCAGCCTGCAACCTGGGCGTGTGCCCTGACTGGGAATCGAACTGGCAACCTTTAAGTGCATGGGACAACACCCAATCAACTGAGACACACCAACCAGGACAGGTCTTTATTATTGTTTTTAAATATAAGTTCCTAGAGGGGTAGCCACTCCAGTGTTTCTGACAACTTGGAGCTCAACCCAGGAACCTACTCTGGGCTATGATCATTTGGCCCTCTTTCAATCAGAGAAATTAACTAGACAAATGACTATAGATCTAATTCCCACGGTCTGGGAAGGGTCTCAGGAGCCTAGAACTTTTTATAGGTGTACTGAGAAATCCAGGAGAGCTCATTTTCTCACATTGCATTCAATCACACTCAGCATTCACTCCTCCACTCAACCTAGAAACTGGGAGCTATCCTTTACCCTTCCTCTCTCTTACCTCCAGTGTCTATGTAGGCCCCAAATGCTCACTCACACCTCTACTCTCTAAATATTTCCCTGCTCTAATCTCTGTCTTTTTTCTTTTTTTCTGGTACCATTGCCCTAGGTCAGATCTTCATCATATTTCACTGAATTCTTGCAGTTGCCTCCTAACGAGTCTCTCTGATTTTATATCTGCCCTTCTCACATGCATACTCTGTACTAATGGCAGGGACACCTATCCAAAACACACACCTTGCCTTGCCACCCCCCTGCTGAAATCCTTTCAAAGGTTCCTGATTACCTACAACGCAGCACCTAGGCTTCGTAGCAGGGCATATGTGGTCATAGGTTGAGCTTCCAATTCTGCCTTAAAAGTCTAAAATAGCGTGAGATGACAGTGTCCCACTTCATCTCTGGACATGTCCACTCCTTATACTTGATGTTCTAGAAACACTGGCCTACTTGAGATAACTGTATATGCCACTGCACTTTTGTCTTCTTTCTTTCCTTTCCCCCTGACCTGCTCTCCCCTGGCCAGCTCATGTTCATGCTTTGGAACTCTTGGTGAATACTATTTTCTCTAGGAAGCCTTTCCCAGTTTCCTTTCCCATGTAGTGCAGACCTGTAGCACTTTCCACATTGTACTGAGATCACTTACGGGCTTGGCTCTTCTGTTATATACTATAAGTTCTTAAATAGGAGGGGCTATTTTGCATTCAACTTTGTATTTCTAGTCTCTAGTACAACCACTGCCACGCAGTAGTTCAATAAAGGGAGCCATTACTAATCTTATAATTAGTAATGTGAGTATCAGTTGCCTCTTGTCAAGGCCAAATAGAGAGACTAGGCAAAATAATAATTATCTTGAAGTTGGGAAAATTATATATATGAGAAATTACAGGAATACAAGAACTGTACAGAGAGAGAGAGAGAGAGATTTCAAATGAAATATTAGAAGGAAAATCAGACTTACCTGAAAGCAGAGTAAATAACCCACCTACTCTGTATGATGTCAAGGGCCCAAGAATATCCCACTACAGAAATTCCATCTCCATCCACAGGCTGAATCCTAATACTCCACTTAGAGAATTTCATTATTTTGGCTCAAATATCTTGCCTCTCTCTACTGAGTTGTAAATAACTATGGAAGATGAATCATTTTGCAAAGTATCAGACTCAGAATTCCTTTGAATGGCAAACACCATTAGGACTTTATTGGTAAATGTCATACAATACCGTTCTAGAGAACTCCTGTAACATAACGTATCTGAGGTTTAAAGGAGCTGATAATTGTCCTAGTAACAGAAAAGGGCTTAAATTCAGTAGGCAACACTACTAAAATAGGATCGAATTTTTAAAAGATATGAATAATTAAGCCCTAGATCAGGACAATTATTATTACTGCAGTTTTTACATTGATCTATTAGCATTTATGTGGTACTTCATACTTTCACTAACATCTTCACTTCTAATATTGCAGAATCTGGCTCGGTAACTACCTTGGGTGGTTTCAGAGTCTCTTAGTCCATTCTAGCTTCATGCGGTGTCTCACAAGCCTTAGCACTCCATTATACATGAATTTTATTGTTTTCGCTCTTTTTCTAATGTGTTAGTTTTCTCCCTTCTTTTGGTCCAGAAACTTCTGGAAGGCAGACACTGTGCATTTTGCTTTCCTTTTTACCCCATGTAACAAGGAAGATTTGCATATTAGAGATTAAAGTTGATCACTAGCCTAGATGACCTCAAGGAACCTATTCTAAGTATACCCGTTTGTAGATTATACCCACAGCACCTACCACCATTATATCTCAGAACATGTCCACCATTCTCAAAGAAGTCACAGTGAATAATGCAGTGGGTATGTGTTTAAGCGTTGAGTTGTTTCCTTAGTTTACTGTTAATATATTGGTTTACGCATTGTCAAACATTTTAGTAAAATCAATGGTGATTATGAATTGGGCTGGTTGTATACTTTAGTATAGCCTAAGTTCTTCCAAATGGCTCTTCAGGCTTTCCATTTATGTTCTAGATGTCCATTCTTTTGGATATGTATAAGTTTTCATTAGCCCTGTTAGGGCTTTGCCAAATAAATCTTGTGACTTTAGCTCTAGACTTTAAGTCAGGTTACATACACAGAGCATTCTTATCTTAATGAAAGGGCATTACTATACCTTGAAAGCGTGCCCATTGCCTCCAGAATAGTTTGTTTCCTGATTAACAGAAAGATCTGTGTAGCCTTTATCATTTTATAACTATGGGTTTATAAATAAAGGACATAGAAATTGACCTGGGAATTTCATAACCAGGTTCTGAACACCCAGGATTAATTTTGAGGAGAATGTCCCAAGCCAAATAAGCATTTCTTTTCATTTCATTTCACAGGCCTTCAAGAGGGAATTGAAAACGAAAGAACCTGTAATCATGAGCACTCTTGAGACTGTACGAATATTTCTGACAGAGCAGCCTTTGGAAGGACTAGAGAAACTCTACCAGGAGCCCAGAGGTAATTGAATGTGGAACTGTAATAACATATTGATAGAAGGATCAGTGGTGACAGAGCAGCCCATCCATTCTGGCTGCCAGGGCCTGGATAGCTCTCACACTTTCTAGGTTAAGTAGAATTGATTCAAATTACGCATAAATGTTGCAAAAGAAGAAGGGATTTTAGACCACCACACATAAATCTGTTTGCGCATTCATAAATAATCATTAAAGGAGATCAACGATCAGCTATTGGAACATTTAGAAAATAATAAACAGAAGAGATTATCTGTAGGGAGGAATTCTGTTGTTACAAAGACCCAAGTTAATTTTCAGTGCAAGAGCCTGGCTGAAGTAAATTCGAGCCTGTGGTGTGCATCCTAGCATTTTCAGTAGCTCCTCAATAGCTTAAATGAATCTTGGATCATCTGATGGCTAGAAGGCAGAACAAATTCACTCAGGAAGACAGACTTGAGATGCGTTGGATTGTATCAGAATTTATGCCAAAGCTCAAGAGCCACTCATCTGTAGGTTGGCCTCTTGTTAAGCGGTACCCCCTTTCTTGTAGTATGACCTTTACAACGATACGTGTGGGGTTTTTTTAAACAAAAATGTATGTGGCCTCAAACCTTGTCGTATTACCAATTTAGAGCTGCCTCCTGAAGAAAATGCGCAGAATGTCACACGGCTCCTCCGAAAGCAGGCCGAAGAGGTGAACACTGAGTGGGAAAAATTGAACCTGCACTCTGCTGACTGGCAGAGAAAACTCGACGAGGCCCTCGAAAGACTCCAGGAACTTCAGGAGGCCACGGATGAGCTGGATCTCAAACTGCGTCAAGCGGAGGTGATCAAGGGATCCTGGCAGCCCGTGGGTGATCTCCTCATCGACTCTCTTCAAGATCACCTCGAAAAAGTCAAGGTACCATCTACTATTTTGCTTCGGGGCCCTTTAAGAGACTCAAAAGAGGTTCTAATCTGAACTCTAGTGCAGGATTTTCTTCTCATAAAGTTAAAAATAGGGCCCGTAGGCATTAGAAATCAGTCCATCTTTCACAGGTTCAGTCTTCTCCCATGTGGCATTTTCTTCAAGAGAAGACAGTGATCAAATCGGCTGTCTGTCTTCAGTAATACAAAATGAAATATTAAAAAGTTACAGGGCAAAAAATCATTTTAAATTTGTTAGTAGGAAATTAAGTGTTTGAAGTAAAGTGGTCTAATGTACATGTGTGTGTTCTTTGTAGTATTTAGTACCAGAGTAGGAAAATGTACAAAACTTAATCAAGAGCCGGGCATGTAGGTTTTGTCTCGTTTGCTAACTGAATTATGTGACTTGGGTGAGTTTATGACACCGTTATGGACATTAGCATTGCCCTTCCCTTAGAAGGCAATATATATAATATAATTTTGAGTTGTATTAGTCTACTGTAGATATTAGAAATTATCATGATGAATTTGGAACACTTTTTAAAATTAATTTTATTGGGATAACATTGGTTATTAACATTACATTTTAGGTGTCAACTTTATAATGTGACATCTTTATACTCTGTCACATGCTCACCACCCCAAGTCACCATGTATTTGATGCCTTTACCCTCTTCATCCATCCCCCACCCCCTTCCCCCTCTGGTCACCACCCTACTGTTGTCTGGAATACTGTCCATGAGACCAAAGTTATATTCCCTTGTGCCACAAAGTTGATAAATATATCTAAAAAGAAAGATGAGACGTATTTAGGAGTATCACTGTAAAAACTAGCAACTTGAAGCATACTTTGTTTACTCACCTAGTGTCAAAACCACTTAGTGCCCCCAATTTGAAATGCTCGGATGCTGACAGATCTGAACTTCTGGTCTGGATCTCTTTTCTGATCTCCTAACCCATGTGCCGTTAGAATAAAAATACAAGCACTCTAAGACCAGGTTCACTCATTCTACTGTTTGTCCACTCCCCTACCGCGCTCCCCTTTAATCTGCCCTTTCTCCTGTGTTTCATATTTCGGTTACCGGATCATAATGCAACAAATTGCTCAGGCTTGAAAAGTGAAGTCCATCCTTTAATCTGGTTACATTTTCACTGGCTGCTCAATTGTTCATTTTCCCTCAGAATATCTCTTTTATATTTTCTCTCTTCCACGTCCTGTTCTAACCTCCAGCATCTGTTACTCAGATCATTGTATTCTACATCTGAAAAATCCCATTAACCGGTCAAAGTACCTGGCACATCAGGCACACTACATTTGAAATAAGTGGTGAATAAATGATATTTTTATATCAGCCATCCTTTCACAACTCTAATCCAAACTCCTTGCAGGAGACTGCCTGCCTGAGAATGAAGTTCAGTGACTGAAGAGGGCAGGTGGCCCTTTTCTCCCAGACCCTGACTCTTGCTCCCACCCTCCAGGTTATTGAGTTCACTCTGACTATATCACCCCTTTATCTAAATAGACCATCTTTTCATTTTTGGAACTCTCTACCTTTGCAAATGCTCTTCTCTCTGCCTGGGTCACCCCATCTTGTCTGCCTGATGAACTTCCACTCAGTCCTCAAGACCCAACTGAAATGGCACCTGTCTTTGTAGTTTTCCCTGCGGGGGGTCGAGCCCAAAAACTGGGCATGTGCCCTGACCGGGAATCAAACCGTGACCTCCTGGTTCATGGGTTGATGCTCAACCACTTAGCCACACTGGCCAGGCTTACAATAAAATATTTTTATTTGACTTTTTAAGAATTATAATTAAGACTAACGTAATGATGTGTGTAGTAGACTAGGAACTATGATGAAGCCACGATGCTGTCCTGACTTATTTATGTTCAACATTTACATCTCAAAATTTAAGAAGATACCTAGCAAATGCATCTTTTCAGGCCTACCATCCCGAGTCCCCATAGCTTGGTTTATTTGAGAAATTATCAAAGAATTCTGTCTCAGACTTTGACACTGAGAAAACCAAGTATGTTTCCTCCTGATAGACAGTGTGAAATGTGATGTAACATATTAGAATGTCACCTTCACTTTGGCAAGCAGGAAGCTTTCAGCCATGTACACATAACTCTCTCTTCCCTTACTGCTTTTGTCATCTTAACTCTCACTCTAATATTTTATCATTATTTTATTAATTTTGTTATATGTGTCATTTATATGAGTCAACCTTAAATCCTTTCTTATATATGAGTTTTATAAGAAAGTTTCTAATTCTTTTTTAAAAAAATATATATTTTTATTGATTCCAGAGAGAGGAAGAGAGAGGGAGAGAGAGAGATGGAAATATCAATGATGAGAGAGTCATTGATCAGCTGCCTCCTGCACACCCCCTGCTGGGGATCGAGCCCACAACCCAGGCATGTGCCCTGACCGGGAATTGAACTACGATCTCCTGGATCTTAGGCCGACGCTCAACCTCTGAGCCACACTGACTGGGCTATAGTTCTTTCTTATAGAGATAGAGGATGCATGGTTAGACAGAACCATCACAAACAGGGCAGCCCTAAGAATTATTCAAAATACCTAAGCTCTCCCAACTCCAAATAAAGAAATTCCATCTCCATAATGAATGGGTTGTACTGCCCTTAGCAGGAAGAAGAAAGTTTACTAATATTTTGTTCATTGTTATTAACCGGAAATGAATTGTTCTCTGGAGGCTTCTGTTGTTGTTTGTATACTAATGCCGTGTGTATTATATAAGCCTTTGATCGAGAAGAAAATAAAAACAAAAAAGATGCACTCCTTTATAAATCTGGATTAAATATGGAACTCATGCCTGTCATATGGAGTAACCAGCGTTTTATCTAGTTTTCAAAGCATGCAACTGTGATGTTTAAAAGCATATGATTTGGCTTTTGATATGTGGGAATGAGAAAGCATATTATAGTAAAGTCTCACTTATATACTTTAAAAGAATAGTATATATTTTTTTAAAAAAATAGAATGGTCATTGTTGGCTTTAATAGGGCTTAGAAGCTAAAGTAGGAGTTAGTCATCTTAAAAGTCCTGACCAAATTATTTGTTTAGTGTAAAATTAATTGTAAGTTAGTGTTGCCAGGAGAGCTTCTTCCTTAGTTCCCATGTATTCTCTCTCATTACCTTCTTTGTTTATAAAGCTAAAAGCAAATTACTGAGGAAAGTGATGCCATTTTCCTTACCCAAGGCATCTGATTTTAGATAGTGCTGTGTGTGTTTTAAAGGCCCCTGCCTCAACTTAGACAAATAGAACCTTCGTTTACCATGCTATTCCCATCCTGCCTTTGAAACTTCTGTAAAGACAGTGCGGAGTAATTGTTTCAGACATCTGCTTAGCATACTTTGAAGTGCATATAAGTTCTTTTTCAGTTTCATTTGAACCCCAGCTGTCTTCACCGAAGTCTATAATCAATCTGAATTAAGTTGTCCTACTTCTCCTAATAAGTCTCTTATTAAGTTCTGCATCAGCCTCTTAGGGAGACTTAAAAGCTAATTCATGTAGAATTGCCATTTTCTACTAATTCATTTGTCAGCTCTCCAAATTCCAACAAAAACAATTGCAAAGACTATTAATTTGGCTCTTCATAAACAACTTATGTAAGTGTGGTATACATTGGAGCCAAGCAAACGATTTAAAACAGTGGGTGGGAGGAAATGAGTTAATGACATTCAACACCCTTACTTTTTGACGGTTTCGAGATGCCTTCCGCATTCAAAGCATAAAGCCACTTATTTAATAAGAGAAACATCCCTCTATTTTACTTTCACAAATAAGGTAATTACTGAGTGAACGTTGCTTAAAGATAGGAAAAGTCTTCAGAACCGTCGGAAAAGGAACATGCTCTTTTTATTATTGAACTTATTTTAATTTGGACTTCTTTGTGTTCCTTTGATGGCCTATGATAAAAGCAGAAGCTGGGATCGGCTACCATTGTTAGTGCATTCAATCAGCTCTTCTTCTGGTCATGGGATATTTAGAAGGACACGGATAATCAAAATGTTCGGCTAATGAGTTCATCTGACATTATTCTACTGAAGACCTATTGAATTAGATAATAAAAATGTCTCCAAAGAATATCATTCTTCAAACTATTTGAAAGCAACCATATCAAAAACTGACCCTTTAATGTGCCAGTCCTGTTTACTGAGGATTTACTCCAGAAGCTTTGTTCGTGGCTGGTAGTAATTATAATACTATTCCTCAGGAGTCGTGGGTAATAAAAGGCTATTCAAAACAAAAACACCAGTAATATATTATCAGCATTAACAGATCTAAAAACCCAATCATTCATTCATTTATGATAAGGTTAAAACCTATACCCAGAAGAAGTCTGATCTCATTATAGAGTGTGAATGTTTAATTTATTGCATGAATAAAATTGTACTGGGAATTGTATTAATGGCATCTTAGTTTTCTTGGGAATATTATTATTTAGCACCAAGCTGAGGGAACAAGAATTTTTATTAGCTTGTGTGTATGTGTGCATATGGCACATTAACTGGAAACAGTTCTAAATGTACGAGTTATTTATGTAACTGAAATTCCCTAGAAAATGGAGTACACAGCCAATATATAGTTTATTTTCCTTTGATATCTACCAGACTTGTGACAAGTTTAAAGTTCACAGTTATGTTACTCGCCTACCATAAGCACAACAAGGAATGATTTAAGATCAAATAACCCAAGGAGCGGGCTCCTGCTGTGTTCGTGTCACGCTTGGCAATTACAACCTGCAAAATTACATAGTTAACGTTGGCGCCATTATAATACCTTACACAACCTTACATGAACTAAGTTAAGCAGTGGCCTTGTGTAATTGGTGAACCAGTTTTCTGGGTATTACGGGAACAGATCTGCCTATGACACTAATGTAACCCTCACATTTTAATAGGGCCTAAGAAGAGTAAACTTTTTCATAATAATATTTTAATTATGTTTAACATTTACTGTGGATTTTTC